AGAAGGAGAAGGAGAAGGAGAAGGAGAAGAAGAAGAAGAAGAAGAAGAAGAAGAAGAAGAAGAAGAAGAAGAAGAAGAAGAAGAAGAAGAAGAAGAAGAAGAAGAAGAAGGAGAAGAAGAAGAAGAAGAAGAAGAAGAAGTAGTAGTAGTAGTAGTAGTAGTAGTAGTTGGAAGGGACCTTGGAGGTCATCGAGTCCAACCCCCCTGCTCAGGCAGGAAACCCTACACCATTTCGGGCAAATGGCTGTCCAGTCTCTTCTTAAAAACTTCCAGTGTTGGAGCATTCACAACTTCTGGAGGCAGGTTGTTCCACTGGTTAATTGTTCTAATTGTCAGGAAGTTTCTCCTTACTTCTAGGTTGCTTCTCTCCTTGATTAGTTTTCATCCGTTCTGCTTATCCTGCTTTCAGGGTGTTTGGAAAATAGCTTGACTCCCTCTTCTTTGTGGCAGTCCCTGAGATATTAGAACACTACTATTGTCCCCCCTCGTCCTTCTCTTCATTAAACTAGACATACCCAATTTCGTACCCATTTTTTTCATAAGCTTAGCTCTTATCTGACCCTATTCTTTTCTTTTCGTTCTTTACTAAAAATTAGTCCAGAAGGATCAGAAATAAAGTTTAGGAATCTTCTTTGTCCGATGCACGAGGAACCCAACCTGGATCTTTATTATTTAAGGCAGACATGTCAAACTCGCAACGTCAGGTGACGTCATGCGATGTATCGGGACTGTTTTGCCATTGCCAGCAATAGGCTGGGCACGGCTTCTGTGTGGCGCGTCTGGCCCGCAGGCCAGCAGTTTAACACCCCTGATTTAAGGGAAGAACTTCTGTTTGCAACATTCACTGTCCTCTTTCTCCCTGTCCATTTCCCTCAGTCTGTTTCTAAACATTGCCCCACCATGTTAAGAACATACATTATGAGTGTAGAAGACCAAAAGAACTCCCTCCTACACCCATTTGGTTGATAAGAAGGCATTCTGGTATTGGCGGACACTGGATTTCTATACGTGTATTAATTATGCAGGAGAACTTAATAGACATAATATTTCCAGCTCAAGTGTCCCAAAGGTACTTTTTCAAGAGGCAACGGGACTTCCTTTGTTTTTCCTTGAAAACATTTCGCTTCTCATCCAAGAAACTTCAGTTCTTCAGTTCTGACTGAATGAAGGATTTTCATTCTCCAATCAGAACAGAAGAAGCTCCTTGGATGAGAAGTGAAATGTTTTCAAGGAAAAACAAAGAAAGTCCCATTGCCTCTTGAAAAAGCACCTTTGGGACAACAATAACCTGGATGACTAAGAATCTCCATAGACATTCCACTCAATGTTCCCTTTCTCCCAACCTGGTTATTGGAAAGGTAGGCTAAGCATACATCTAAAGGACGCATATTGAAATGTTTCAGGTCTGTTCTGCCTTCATGAAAGACTAGAATTCACCTAAACCTCCCCATTTTTGATAACTTCAGGCAAATGCAGTTAAAGCCCTGGGCTTTTTTCTGCTTTGCAGCAAATCCAGAGGCTGATCAAAAAAGGAAGGCTGGAGAAAGCATCAGCAGCCAGCAAGCTGAAATAAACTATGAGATAGGAGGTTAGGAGGTCTAACATAACTGCAAGAAATGGACAGACCGAGATTCATCTAGGATTCAGAGATTCTTCAGTCAGCAAAAGCAAACAGGAGACATAAGTCAGGAAAGCTTTTTAAAAAGACGTAAGAAAGAAACCATCGAAATTCGGGAAGCTTTTTTTTTTAAAAAAAAAAAAAGTTTGAAGAAAGGGTGAAAAAGAATTCACAACATGAGTTCTAAAATCGAGCTGTTTTAAGAAACAGTGAAACTATCCAAACCAAAACACCCTGCTGTTCACAAAGGAAGGAAAATGACAGTGTAGTCTCTCTTTCTCCTAACTAGAAGGAAATGACTGAAACAGGCTGAGACAGGGGAAAAAAAATGTGCATATGTATGTCAGTGTGTGCCAAGAATTGTATGAAGTGCTGGTGGTTTTTAAATCTGCATAAAAGTTACAAAGAACTTGATTTGGCAACTTTAATAGAGCTAAACTTTATTTTAGCAACAAACGTTGAAAGATGCCTGGAAGGAGGCTTTTGAAATGTGAATCTGTAACCGCCATGAAATGGTTTCAGTCATTGCTATTATACCAACAATATGAGGGGACAAATTTTGTCCCATTTTACCAGTGTTTCTCAATCTTGGCAACTTTAAGATGTGGAGACTTCAACTTCAACTTCAGAATTCCCCAGCCAGAATTCTTGGAGTTGCAGTTTCCACACATCTTTAAGTTGCCAAGGTTGAGAATCACTGCATTATATAGCTCAAAAATAAATTACTTTTTTCCAGCCTGTTGCTTTCCAATGTTTTGCTTCATGACTTCCAGAAGGCTCAGCCTATAACACCATAGCATCTGGGACTACAAGAACTATCCTTGGATCGGACCAGTAGCCATTATCAACATGCTACATCCAAAAACAACAAATACCTGTGGAAGCTCAGAAGTAGAATATCAAAGTAAATTTCCTGTTTTGTTTTCTGTCTCAGCTCCTAAGCCATTTCAGGCTCAATAGAGCTGAACATAGAGGTCACGTGTAGATGTAATAGATAGGATACAAGAATTTTGTTGAAGTCATAGCCCATTAATATCTACTCTGAGTAATGATCCTGCTCATCATCTCCTTCCTAATCCTTTATTAGAGATGCTGAATAACGAAACTAGAGATCTTCTCTATGCCAATAGGCATGATCTCCTCCCAGCTTGAAAATACCGATAGGATCACTTCTTAATGAATCTAAATCCATCCATATAACATTTTATTGTCACCTTAGGATAGCAAAATCTATATGTTATAGAATGTACTGTGGACTGTATCAAGAAGAAAAATTCCATAGGTTTCTACCCCATTAGTCATAATTCTACTGATTGTATTTCATGTAGATGGAACAAGAGAAGGACAACGTGTGGTAAAATGGGTGGCCAATCAATTGGATGGATAGATAGATAGATAGATAGATAGATAGATAGATAGATAGATAGATAGATAGAAGATGGATGGATGGATGGATGGATAATAGAGAGGTATAAAGATAGATCATAGATAGATAAGAGTGAGAGAGAAAGAAATATATATATATATATATATATATATATATATATATATATATTATATATATATATATATATATATATATAATATATATATATATATATATATATATCTTTGCTCCTAGAAGCACGAAGCCGGAAACACCAGCCTGAAGATGACAAATGAGACTTCGTCAAAACGTCGCCAAGACACTTCCAATTTGACGCGGGAGAAAACCCAAATAACCAAAGACCTACAGATATATATATCTGGATATATATATATATATATAGAGAGAGAGAGAGAGAGAGAGAGACAGAGAGACAGAGAGACAGAGAGACAGAGACAGAGAGACAGAAACACACACACACACACAGAGACACACATACACAGATGTACATCAAGGTTTCTGAAATTCTTTCCAACCTTTTACCAGCACTGGATACAGGCAGCATCTGCATTTCCTATGTTAATAAATCTGTGTAGATATATGTTTGTAAATGATATACGTGTGTGTGCTTCTTCCCGAGTGTCACTTATGTATGTGTTTGTGTCCATGGGCCTATTGGGAAGCAGAGGGTAACCTTCATACATTCCACTGTGGTCTGCTCTTTTCAGTTTCTGGAAAGTTATCCTGCTGATGGACGGACAGAGTCTTTTCAATTCTCAGTTGGGTTGGAAAATAGAGGAAAGGAGGAGAAAATGAAATTCTGCATTTCTTTGGTTTAGTTATATCACTCTTTTATTATTTTTATAAATAATTCAAGGTGGCAAACATACCCAATATACCTCCTCCTATTTTCCCATAACATCCACCCTGTGAGGTAAGTTCAGTTGAGAGAAAGGACTGGCCCGAAGTCTCCCAGCTGGCTTTCACGTCTAAGACAGGACTAGAACTTAAAGTCTCCTGGATTTTAGCCTGATGACTTCACCTCTGGCCCAAACTGGCTCCCTGAAAGAAATGGTTTGCTGTTGCCTCTTTCCTTGGGCTGAGAGAAGGTGATTGGCTTAAGGTCACCCAGCTGCTTTCTATCTAAGGTGGGATCGGAACTTATAGTTTTGTGTCTATCTTGGTGCCTTCACCGCTAGATCAAACTGGCTTCTGCTTCACCATTTCTTCATGCAGGTGGTATCTCTTGATTGTTGTGATTGACCTTTCCTGTCAGGCCTGCCTCAGCTTTAACCTTAGACAAGAATGATCCATTACTCGATTTTAAGATGGAGGTATAGTTTTAGTAAAGTCAAGTGAAGTACAGTAAAGCAAAGCCGGGTCTGAGGTTCCTGTGCCAATTTCTTAGTGAAATTCTCCCCTCCTCCATTTCCCAATAATAAAGTTGGAAGGGACCTTGGAGGTCATGAGTCCAACCCTTTGCTCAGGCAGGAAACCTTATACCATTTCAGACAAATGGCTGTCCAGTCTCTTCTTAAAAACTTCCAGTGTTGGAGCATTCACAGCTTCTGGAGGTAGGTTGTTCCACTAATTAATTGTTTTAACCGACAGGAAATTTCTGCTTAGTTCTATTTTGCTTCTCTCTTTGGTTAGTTTCCATCTGTTCCTTCTTGTCCTGCCTTCAGGTGCTTTGTGTCCAATCATATTCAAACCAGATGTTTTTGGAACAGCTGTCCTTGGAATGCAGCTGCATTCTTCTCTCTCTAGCCAGATGTCCTTGAGATGTTGTCTCCGGCTGGCACAGAGCAGTTTGGAGATCTCCCCCCTTCTCCCCTCCCAAACAGCTTCCCTCCCCCCTCCCCCCCCCTAGAATTTATGGCAGGCTGGCACTGAAGCAAATGAAATCGGGAGCAAGGTGGTGGATCTGTCCTTTGTGCAATTCAGTGTCTTTGTGAGATCTGCAATTCCCTATGTGCGTGAACCATTGCTCATTCACATGGTCTTCTCCCTGTCTAGGTATCCCTCCAGCCAGTGGCACGGGCACACTCCAGATCTACCTAATTGACATCAACGATAATGCTCCTGAACTTCAGCCAAAGGAGGCCCAGATATGTGAGAAGCCAAATCTGAATGTCATCAACATCACAGCCGCCGATGCTGACATCGATCCAAATGTCGGCCCCTTCGTCTTTGAACTGCCAAGCGTACCATCTGCCATTAGGAAGAACTGGACCATTACACGTCTAAATGGTAAACCAAGCGGGCAACACCTGGCCCTGTTTGTAACTTGGCATGTGGGCCTTCAGACTTTGAAACTTTCTGTGCCGTCTTTGGTGTTCATTTTTTAAAAGAAAGCCATGTTCGAGACGACATTTATAAGCAAGAGAGTTCATGAGAAATTACCTGAATTGGACCTGAAGCTGAATTGCTCACAGCTTGCATTGGTTCTTGGCTTCCCCACCTTAATGCAGCTTGTGATTACACAGGGTTACGAAGTTGGGATAAATCATCCGTAATTGCCCAGGAGAAAAAGCTATTATCAGTCTTCCTTATGTTCCATTTTTATTGTCATAAGCCACAATCAGGATCAATGATCAACCTTTGCCCATAATTGCTTAAAAGTCACCTCCTTTTCTAATTTACTATAGAGGCAGCTTTAATGCTTGGAAAATAGGAAGGTTACCATTTGAGGAGAATGTACAGGGGAGAAGATCTGTCGAAATTATAATAATTAGCCTCTTTGTGGCTTATCAGAGTCTGCACAGAGTTCAGCCTAGGTGACCCATGGGCATACAGATAGTCCTCAACTTATGACCATAACTGAGCCCCAAATTTATGTTATTAAGCAAGACGGTTGTTAAGTGAGTTTTGCCCCATTTTGTGACCTTTCTTGCCACAGTGGTTAAATGAATCACTACAGTTGTAAAGTTAACAATATGGTTGTAGGTTAACTTGCCCATTGACTATGCTTGTCAGATGGTTGCAAAAGGTGATCACATGACCCCGGGACACGGCAACCGTCATAAGTACATGCCCAATTTTGATCACGTGACCATGGGGATGCTGTAACGGTCATAAGAGTGGAAAATGGACACGTCCCCTTTTTCAGTGCCATTTGAGCAGTCGCTAAATGAATGGTTGCAAGTCGCGGACTACCTGTATGCCCATGAATTACTTGGGGGAGTGGATTCTCCAGATCAGTAGATATTCAGAAGAAGTAGATTTTCCACCCAGCCCCGTTCTTCATGGCTTCCTCCATTTTGCTCCCCACAGGTGATTATGGTCAACTTGGTTTGCGAATAATATACTTGGAAGCCGGTGTGTATGATGTTCCAATCATTGTAACAGATTCTGGAAACCCTCCTCTGTTTAACATGTCCATCATTAAGGTCAAGGTGTGTCCATGTGATGAGAATGGAGATTGTACCACTATAGGAGCTGTCGCTGCAGCTGGGCTGGGAACCGGAGCCATTATTGCCATCTTGATATGCATCATCATTTTACTAAGTAAGTGTTGCACCAGGCAATGTACGCATATGGTTTGAAGCCAGGGTTCTTTATACATGCATGCAGCATTTTTATTTATTTGATTTGATTTGATTTTTTTATTATTATTATTCTGCCTTCATTGCTTCATAAGTAACTCAAGTCAGCAAACACATAATGCTCACTCCTATTTTCCTCGTGTCAGCCCTTTGAGGTGGATTGCTCTGAGGAAGAGCGATTGGCCCAAGTCATCCAGCTGGCTTGCATGTCTAAAGTGGGGACTAGACTTCATAGTATCCTGGTGATTGCCCCAAGGCCATCCAGCCAAATTTTATGCCTAAAACGGGACTAGAACTCACCGTTTCCTAGTTTCTAGTCTGGTGCCTTAATCACTAGACCAGACAAAGTTCAGTAATTCATAAAATCACAGTAAAAGAGAATCGGTTTCATGGTTGTAAAAGCACAGCTGCTCTGTAGTGATTAAAAATTGGTTTTTAAATATATGCAGACCCCTCACATCCTGGACATAAACTGTTTCAAAGTCTTCCCTCGGGATGGCCGTATAGGGAATTGCATTCCAAAACAACTAGACACAGGAACAGTTTGCTTTGTTGTGCCATCACTCTGCTGAACACTGAATTCCTAATTCTCACAATACTTCTTACTCTAAGTATATTTACTCATGTTGTATGGCTGTAGTATTATTATTACCCTTCTTATCTTCTTTACTATCCATTGGGGGGGGAGGAGGAGGAGGAGGGGAGGAGGAGGACTCTGTTGCTTTGCATGAACACTGAGAGCTTTTGTACTGGAGACAAATTCTTTGTGTGTCTCATCACACTTGGCCAAATAAAGTTCAATTCAATTCAATTAAAAAAAACTCAATAAGTACAAATTACCTCTATATTTACACTTGAAAAATAAGCCATCCTATTTCCTGGGTAATCTTTAATATACATATACTAAATTAATTGTGGCCTGATGGTAATAAGCAATAAATATACATTGGTATTCTAAATTGGTTGATCATAATAAAGCTTCCCTAATGCCAATTGCTAGTAGTTTGTGTAGTAAAATTTCACACTGGAAGAAACAGAAGGCAATAAAGCATAAGACACAATTTTACTTTTTTTTCTGCCTTTGCATAACTAGTTTCAAGGCCTAAAATATGATTTAAACACTTGAGCATGTTCTGTTGACTGAAATTAAATGCGGATGAAAGGGATTTGATTTAGGAGAACTTCTTCCCATCTTCAAATCCATTATCCTGTTCTAAATTATGGATTTTTATTACAAATGTATGTTTTTAAAAATTCATGGCTCTAATTGGCTTTTTTAACGTTCAGCAATCACCCTGGTTTTATATCAGTGAAAATGGAATGGTAAATAGAAATCTTTCTTCCATGTACATTATTTAATTTGGGGACTTATTCTGTCAATTATTTTTACTGGGGGATGAGTAGAATGAGTGAGTGGGACTTATAATTAACGTGGTTTGTGTGTGCTCGTGCATGCCCTTGAATTAATCTTGACTCATGGCAACAGCCCATTAAGGGCTAAATATGATGTGAAGATACATGTTTGCCCTCATAAATCCAGCCTTTTCATGGACTAAGTCTCTAGAGTCATGTAAAATCCCATTCAAATCTGTTCAGAAAATTTATCCCATTCAGTTCTACTTCAAACAGGCTGTGATCTATCAGAGAGTCTACAATGGATCCTGCACTGAGTAAGGTCTTCTCAATTTCTAAGATCCTTCTTAGCCCAATGATTTCATGATTCCAAGTACTGTATTCAAATCAGTTTGCAAAAAACAGACATTTGCATCAAATGATATCTGTCAAATTCAGATGTTTGAAATGATTTTGAGGAGGCCAGATCTGTCCCTTTGCTGAAACTTCCCAAGTTATTTGAATCAGTTTACAGTGGAAGCATCTTAACAAGACTTGTCCCCCACCCAAAAAAATCAAGACATTGTGACTGCTCTTTTGCACTCCTCCCTCCCTACCACTCACCCATCCCACATGGATGGCATGGAACCTGTTTGGTCTAGTGGTAAAGGCGACCGTGAGTTCTAGTTCCACGATAGCCATGAAAACCAGCTGGGTGACCTTGGGCCAGTCCCTCTCACCCTCAGTGCCAGTCCACCTTACAGAGATGTTGTTGTGGAGGAAATAGGAGGAAGAAGGATATTTTGCTGCCTTGAGTTATTTTTTAAAATAATAAAGATGGGATACAAATAGATAGATTATAGATGATAAAAGAGAGAGGGGAGATACATAGATAGATAGATAGATAGATAGATAGATAGATAGATAGATAGATAGATAGAGAGAGAGAGATAGATAGATAGATAGATAGATGACAGATAGATAGATGTCAGATAGATAGATAGATGACAGATAGATAGATAGATAGATAGATAGATAGATAGATAGATAGATAGATAGATGACAGATGACAGATAGATAGATAGATAGATGACAGATGACAGATAGATGACAGATAGATAGTGATGAAAGTTAGCCCAGAAGGAAATATTAAAAAGGGCGGAAAAATATATTTTTCCTCAAAAGGACTTTTTAAAACCAAACTTGGCCCCAAATCTATCTCTCTGCCCCAAGCAAGACTTTAGCCCTATGCAAATGTAAAACCATCAGAAAGTTGGAGCTAGAGCAATCAAGAAGACAAAAGAGAAGATCTGCATACCCCACCCAAACTCTAGGAGTCAGCCCCATCACCTGGGAAGCAGGATATGATAACAGAATTAAACCACAGATATCAAGGCCTAGACAAACACTCAGAAACAGTCTCAAGGTTCATGCCACAGGAACAGGAAACTATTCCAAACAAAAGGCTAGGGGGGGGTATAAAACCTACTGCCCATGTGCTCAATCTCTCTCTGTGCTCTCTTTGCCTCTCTTCTCTCTCCTCTGCACTTTCCTGAAGAACCATCTTTCTGCAATAAACTGTAACCTTCTTCCCAAAGCAGTCGCCATGTTTGCTTATTTATTCCCGGCTTGGATGAACCAGGATGAAGACTTTACTTCTAACAATAGATAGATAGATAGATAGATAGATAGATAGATAGATAGATAGATAGATAGATAGATAGATAGATAACAGAGATAGATGATAGATAGATAGATGATAGATAGATAGATAGATAGATAGATAGATAGATAGATAGATGAGAGAGAGAGAGAGAAAAAAATGATAGATAGATAAAATGAAATGAAATGCTTCCGATTCAGAGACATTTAACTTGACAGTTTAAATGAGCACTTCCAATTTGATTGGAACAGTCTGGATGATTCAGAGATTTTTCTCAAATCATATCTGCAAATTGTATGTTCGTCCAGTCCCTGTTTCAAAGGGCTGTAGAGTATTCAGGGAACGGCCATCCAGTACTGGCCGTAGCTTCCATCTGCAGGGTGTTACTTTCCAGAGACCCGTGTCCACTGCAACCCTGCCTTGAAATCTCATCTGAAAAAAAAAAAAAAGCAAAGAGCTTTTTCTTAAAGCAGTACACTAAAGAAAAATATAATAATTATAGTGGAAGAAAGCAATCGATTTCACAAAAATTACCTTCAGAAGGGAAACAGGCCTTAAAGCAACAATGGAGCTCTCTTTTCTTAAGAGCAGATAAAAATGGATTGAACTACATTTGCTATTGACACTCTGAAAGCCTCTTTTTCAAGAGAGCTGTAAAGGTGTTAATAGGACAATTTTTCTACAAAGGGTGACCAGAAGAAAAAAAACCGCCCCTGCCTTAAAAGAGAGAGAACTTGCTTCTGGTGAATTGCAAAGAAAGAGAGAGATTTCACTCATTGTGATAAGTAGTTAAGAGGCAGATTGATGTTTGCCTTCGTATGTGGATCCCCTTTTATTTATCTCTGATTTTTTTTTTAAAAAAAAAAAAGTGGCAGGCCTTAAGCAAATGCAAATCAATCTGCAAATCAATGTATATGGCTAGACTTAAAAGAACAGGGAAGTGACATATAGAAACAGTAATTAGCTGCTTCTCCTGTTAGAGCTTTGTTGGCTTCCCATCAGTCAGTTTTTGTTGGGGGTGGAATTGCAGAGACAAAAGGGAAATAGATGGGGTAGAATTTGTCCTGGCATATTTCTTCATTTGCACAGATTCTTTTTAGAGTGAGCCTATTGGGGGTTGTCTCTTTCCATTCTTGCGTTTGGCAATAGGGGGAAAAAAATCACCGTTTTTGCTCTGACAGAAAAGCAATTATGGAAAAGTTTCACTTTCCGCGCAGTATAGAGGTTGTGCTGAAATTCCTGTTTGGAGTGTCAGCAAGGTGGATTTCATGGCATTTATAGGGTAGTAATCTGCACCCCTAATTAGAAGTAAGCACTGGGCTGTCCTTTCCTGGAATTTCAGATTGGGAAACCCATATTTCGCATCTGAGACTTTCACCGGATATGCTGTGACAGATGGAGGAGGAAAGACCTTTCAGTTATGAACAGAGAAACATTCTCATTCAGCAGTCAGCAGTAACAGAATAATAGGGTTGGAAGGGAACTTGAAGGTCTTCTAGTCCAACCCCCGACTCAAGCAGGAGACCCTATACCAGTGGTTCTCAACCTTTTTAATGCCGCGACCCGAAACCGGTCATAAGTCGAGGACTACTCAACCGGTTGTAAGTCGAGGACTACTCAACTGGTGCAGCACTTACTCAACCGGTCGTAAGTCGAGGACTACTCAACTGGTGCAGCACCGTTTGCAGAATGGGACTTTTGGCGAGCTCAGCAGGGCAGAGACAGCCTGGACAATTCCTACTGGCTTTTGAAAGCCAATAGAATTAGACTCTATTCAAGAGAGTCTATTCTATTGGCTTTGGAAAGCCAATAGAATAAAAGGGAGTAGCATAGCTAAGGAAAAGGGGGGAAAAATGGCAGACTGCGTTGTTTGGCAACCCCCGTGAAATGGTCGTTCGACCCCAAATGGGGTCCCGACCCACAGGTTGAGAACCACTGCCCTGTACCAAGGGTAGGCAACCTTGGCT